TAGTATAACTATGCAGACTCAGACACTAGCTTCCAGACTGCTCTGAGACACTGGTACTTACTGGGCATGCACCGCCTGTTGCAACCGAGCCCACAGTAAACTCACTCACTCACAATCTCCCAAGACACTGGCCAGAAATCTACGAGATAAAGGTGGAGGTCTTGTCTTACTGTATGGGCCTGACGGAGGAGGTCATTTACGGTACATCGAGGTGCCTCTACCAGATTTCCCCAGGTCTCAGATGTGAAGACACGTGGGGGGCGCCGTCTGCTGATCACAGCACGTGTTGTCCAGGTGTTGTCTGTCTTAAGCAAGACGCTATTCTGTCTTTGTGACCCGCGCCTCGTCATTCAAGCTAGGGCTGCCAGTTCTCCCTAGCTAACTTATCCTAGTGTTTGCCTACTTTATCGGCCTATTACTACCTATGTTAAGGTCTTAGGTCTACATTATTATTATCTACAGTTGCCTTAGTAACCTAATATTAATATACTAACAGTAAAACTACCTACTCCTTCCCTGAAGAATAAATCTATAAATTAAATACATGCCTACCAAGAATCCATCGCCGACCACCACTTTGGGTGGGGTATAAGGGCCATCCAGCTCAGCCATCCCGTACGGCCATGCTGGATCTGTCCTGTGGAACTTTAGGGACCAAATAAATTTCCACATCCTCCCGCCGGTGAAGGTAGGTGCTAAGTCTAGATCAAGTCTGCCTCCCGCAGGCCCTCCCAGTGGGCCCTGGACTTGAGCGCCGTTTTACGGGTCGTCCAGCCGCTCAGCTCGGTCATCCTCTGGTATAATTTCTCATGTCCCGGTCCCACCGTGTGGACCTCGAGGGGTAAAAGCCTGTTGATGGGTCTTATAGTCTCGACACCATTCATTCTCTCCTTCACCATTCTTAACCGCCCAGCCTTGTCTGGGTGGGTTGACACTACCAGGCCAAGAGGCCAGTATGCCCGGGGCGCCTCGGATTCTACTAGCACCAGGTCCCCTTCACTTAGCATCATCTTATTTGCCTCGGAGTCAGCACCATAGAAATGTTCCCGCAAGGTTGTCAAGTAATCCCTGCGCCACACCTGGTTCCATTTGTCCAGGATGTTCACCTAATTTGACTGTGACATCCACCACATCATAAGATTTGGGTGGGACCTGACTTATAGCCCCTCCCAACATCATACTAACTTTCTTTGTGGCCTTCAACTTTAATTTAGCCACCAACTTCTTTGTTGTCAAGGATACTTGTGCTCCTGGGTCAAAGAATAATCGGGTTGTTTCGGACCTGTGCCCATTCACAACCTTTGCCATGACTGTAGGTAGGGCAGCACCGACGTGATTCTCACTCGGATTAGAGACTTTACTCCCACTAATCACGCTGGCTACCATTTCAGGCTCGGACTCACTTTCTATCTCTACCTGAGAGATATCCCTACTAGATTGGGTTCCCTTAAATTATTGGGACATAGTGCAGTATGGTGCTTACCTTTGCAAAAAAGACTCGACACTCATTGAGCGGGGTTGCCACAGTCTCTCGCAAAGTGTTCCCCACAACACTTGAAGCAGAGTCTCAACTCCCTTAGTCCTGTTGCCTACTGCTCAGTGTCATATACTCCGAGCAACTCGTGCTAGCATGTTCGCCTTCGCAAAACCCACACATATTCTGGCATGAGTGCCTCTGAGGTTCTGCTTAGAGGTTTTCTTCCCTTAGACACCTCTTTACCATAGTACACCTCCAACGTTAGTCGTACGAGCTTTAGATGATCTCTCAGATCTTTGAGTGACTGTCGGGGTTTTTTGTGGCGATGGTGGTAAATCTTCTCTCACACCTATACTCAAATGAGAAACGAGATCTCCCAACCCCTCAACGATTTGTTGTATCGTGAACCTATTCCTAAGATATTTTAAGTGTAACTCATGCACTGTAGTGCTAGCCAGTTTCCTCTGAATCACCTGACTGATGAACCATTCCGACTTACCCCAATCATGTAAATCTTTAAGACTATTCGTCAAACTCATAACTTCGATTCGGAATTTCTCTAGGCTCTGACGGTCATGGCGACAAGCCTCTAGATCCAACAACCGATAAAGTATAGCTACCTTTATCTCCTCAGTGTTGCCAAACATGTCCTTTAATTGGTCTTTGGTGTGTTGGTAATTGGTGTCGGTGGTTTGGTAATGCCGGACCAAGTCCAAGGCTTTACCCTTGAGCTGTGAACGTAAATATTGTAATTTGACGGCATCTGACAAATCGTCTCTGTCATCTATCTGGGCTTTAAACTGATCCCAGAAAGCAATGTACTCTGTTAAGGTTCCGTCGAATGTTGGTAAATTCAACTGGGGCAATCTGGGCAACACATTAACAGGCGTGCTGTTGTTCGTGTTCCTTGAAACATTTGCTGCCCCTGCTGTACCGGCCTTCAAAGTCTTTATTAACTGCCTGCAGAGTCTCAACTCTGCTTTACACTCTGCCCTTCGTTCGTCATAGTCCGTCCGTGCTACTTCGACTGTATATCCAGACTCACCTGTAGTAAAAGCCTCTGTCTTATAAAGGATAAATGATCTCTCAAAGGCCTCCAGTCTTTGCTCCAAAGGTTTCAGGCAACTCTCTAGTTCCTCCCAGTCTACGTCCTGATCTTGCCTGACCATACGACACTCCTCACATGCTTTGCTCAGGCGCCCATTATAGGCTCCCATAGACCGCTTTAATTGACTTAGAGCTGGGACAGCTGGTACTACATCTTCACCTACCATAGTTGCGGTTTTAGTTAAGATCACGTTACTAATTTGTACTTCAATTAGCCCCCCCCACAGCACAAAACGGTATTAGGCAAGAATGAACGAGTCTTAAGGCTTCTCAAAAAGCTTAACAATTCCCTTTGTTAAAATTGATCTACTCTGACTTAAAATGTACACTGTTAGCTCTCAAATCCCAATCAAAATGGGTATCGATGTGAAAGCTTAACCTAGCACTTAACTGTACAATGCCAGCAAATAATTACAGGACTTAACCTAGTCTCAGGTACAATTCACAAATCCCACATTAACATGAATCAAAGACAATGAAAATCACACAATAAAAGTGCAGTATACAAATTAAAATCACTTGGTTAACACAAGTAAATTCAACAATTCAACTTGTGAAACAGTAAATAAATAATGTATGTGTAAACAGCTTGGCCTAACTGTGCCCAGCTTACTCAGTCTAGCGTGGATGGTTGGATAAGGTAAATCCTAACCTAACTAGTGTGCTATAACTTAAACCGGCTTTATTAAACTCCCTGTAAATAATAACTAGGTTAAATTTGTCCTAGCTACTATAACTTTTGTAAATATTGTACAAGCCTAGCCTAACTGTGGCTACCTTGCAAATCCACTGTAAGTAATCAACACACAAGTCTTCTACTCTGGATTACTTGTAATCACTGTAAATAATTAAATTCACAAGCTTCTCTAGCCTACCTGGCCTGCCTGTAAATTACTGCAAATAAAAACCCTTTGTGTATAGTCAGCTTGGCCTAGCCTCTGTGTAACTTTGGGCCTAGGGTGCTAACTTAACCTAACTCTGTTAAACTGGTTCCTAACTGTGGCCTAGCTATGATAGCTTAGCCTAGCTATTCCACATCACGGTTTTCGAAGGACCACTTTTGTGAAAATTTTTGTGGACTGCCTCCAAATGAGTCGCCTACCCTAGCAAACTCTGTTGACACCGAGTTCTGAGGTCGGTACCTCAGCTTCACAAGTGGCTTATAGGACAGATTTTCATAAATGATTGTTGTTACAAGAAAACCTCGCCTGCATGCACGTATAAAGGCCTAAAATACTTGGTGTTGCAGCATATATCCTGATCTTCACTTCTCTAAGCTTAGCCTTAGCCCCTTTGGACTTCCCCTCAGAAACCACATGCAACCGGGAGCCTTAATTCCTGCAATATTCAATCAAAAATTTAAAGTGTCCTGCCTGCACCTCAGAAATTCCAAAATTCCAAGAGGGTAATGTATCCCCTAGTATAAACTATGCAGACTCAGACACTAGCTTCCAGACGGCTCTGAGACACTGGTACTTACTGGGCATGCACCGCCTGTTGCAACCGGGCCCACAGTAAACTCACTCACTCACAATCTCCCAAGACACTGGCCAGAAATCTACGAGATAAAGGTGGAGGTCTTGTCTTACTGTATGGGCCTGACGGAGGAGTCATCTACGGTACATCGAGGTGCCTCTACCAGATTTCCCCAGGTCTCAGATGTGAAGACACGTGGGGGGGCCGTCTGCTGATCACGGCACGTTTTGTCCATGTGTTGTCTGTCTTAAGCAAGAGCTTCTGTCTTTGGGGACCCACGCCTCGTCATTCAAGCTAGGGCTGCCAGTTCTCCCTAGCTAACTTATCCTAGTGTTTGCCTACATTATCTGCCTATTACTACCTATGTTAAGGTCTTAGGTCTACATTATTATTATCTACAGTTGCCTTAGTAACCTAATATTAATATACTAACAGTAAAACTACCTACTCCTTCCCTGAAGAATAAATCTATAAATTAAATACATGCCTACCAAGAATCCATCGCCGACCAGAGAGAATGCTTTCATGTTTGGGTGGGGTATAAGGGCCATCCAGCTCAGCCGTCCCGTACGGCCATGCTGGATCTGTCTTGTGGAACTTTAGGAACCAAATAAATTTCCACACAATTCATAGACAGGAAATTATGAATATGTTTAACAGTAGATATGCAAACATAGCCTCTTGTACAGCTAGGTCTCTTTTTAAATTATGTTAATTTACATAGACTCGTTGCAGACACAACACTCACCTGTTGTTGTTTTTTCTGTGTTGATATGGTCAACTATGATCAGTAAGGCACATGCGCAACACTAGGAATCTTGCAGTGTTGCACAATAAACAAGATATACCTGAGTCAGTGTGTGCGTCACCTAAGTGTTGTACAAGTAGAAGACTAGATGTACAAGTAACAGTGTGCTTAACACATAATGTGTTGCTTCAGAATGGTGGACCGACAGCGAGTTCAGGCAACAACTGGCCTCTGAGGGGTAACAAGAGCTCGTTGTTTGAGGGAGGAACCAGAGGCGTTGCCTTCGTTCATTCTCCACTACTTCCCAACCCTGGCACAGTCTCTCACCAGTTAGTATTATTAACAATTAACTGTATAAATCACATATCATCATAAATTGCTGTTTCTGCCTTTCAGTGTTACTACCAGCTGTAGTTTAAATGAAATGTAATAACCACTTTTTCTTCTATTATTCATTAGAAATAAAATATATCAATATTTTGCTTATATTATGATGTAAATATTTTGAGATATTGGACACTCTTCATTGCAAACAACTTTTTTTTATATATTTTATTTAAAAACAGTACAGCAGTATATAATACCGGAATATAAATAGACATAAAAAGATAACATAAACTTCTCAGAACCAGTGGCTCTATAACCTCTCTGAAAAAATGTCAACACATAAAGCAAAAGCTTTCAACAAAACGTCTCAAAACAACTACCAGTAACAGAGTATTAACCTATCATATATAACTTTAAAACAACGTTAACATACACTTATTAGGAATTAACTAGAGCCTAACACTTAACAAAGGCTCAAAACGATATTTAAAGGGTGACACAAAAGAAAAAACTGATTTCACACTCACACAAAAAAAGGAAGACCCATGCATATGCATATATGTACACAAACAAAACAGTATATAAAAATATTTTAATCTACAAAAAATCTAACGCATATCATGACCCCATAACCGATAATAAACATAACCAATTACATATACCATTAAAAAATATGACTCAAGAATCGGGTCATTACAAGACAGGAACACCTCCAAATACATGACAAAACCTTCGGGGTTGCACTTTCATTCATTACACAAAAGTAACAATAAGTATCAAGGAGCTCTCAAAGCTCCACAACCACACATCCATGACAACCTGGAAACACAATCCATACCAACATTCACCACACTCTCACCCCCCCTCCCAGGAGACGAGCCTGCTGTTGCCCACTGACTTACACTCAACCAATTTAAAACCCATAAATATAAAGACCCTTACACTTCGTACATTCATATTCATTCACAAATTCACGATTTCTAACGTTAACCTCCTATATCCTTCCGAAAATAACTGATCCCATCTCTTCCCGTACAACTCCCGGTTACGACACATCGTACGATAAAAAGTTATCGCAAGAACTCGCCTTCGCACCTCACTAACCCCTTTCCCCCTCATCACCCACGATGTAGATATAATCCACCATGATGTAATCTAAAGCTCTTATGACTTCCTCTTCTAAACCACCCATGTCAAGACTTAAAGCACGCAGAACCGCCACCCCACTCCCTCCCACCCTCAGTACCAACCTACCTAACCAACCCCTGACGCCTTCTAACCCCTTCCAAAAAAAAAACTACATGGAACGCCGTGTTGTTTCCCCCCCACAAAAACCACCCCCCCCTCCTCTCCCCTCTACTACTCTCCTGGTTCTTTGTATGGCCCCTGACGGCAAGATACCATGCATAAAACGAAACAACGTCACGCACCCTAGGCAAATAATTTCAGCTTGCTAAATCTATACCAAACGTTTTCTCGACGAGTACATGGGGGAAAAAAACCTCAACAAGGGCAACCACTTACCCACCAGTAACCTACACAAAACCCATATTCGAATGTTTTTTTTCCGTTTCCTAAAACAACAACAAGGCCCGTAGAACAATTTCACATTCCCTCATTCCCAACGCCCCCCATACCACTTCTTCAACCCCATATATACCTGTTCTATAAATTTCCCCCCCAAACACGCCCACACTCCAATACCTCCCATTTAAGAAACACACATTTAGCCCTCCGTCTTAGATCCATCAATCCCAACCCACCCTGACACACCAGTAACATAACAGCCTCTCTTCTTAACCATTCACAACTTGATCCCCACAAAAATTTAAACACTCTTCTCAAAACCCCCGCAATCGCCGTCCCTGTAATCGGGAATACAGCCGCAACATGCCAAACCTTACTATACAATAAAACATTTACGACAATCACACGTTGGGCCAGAGTGAGATACTGGGGCCTGAAAACACCCAGATGTCCCACGATCCTTTCTAACAACCTATCCGAGTTTTCCTCACGTGCCACATCCATTTCATCCTTGTATATAATACCACAAAACTTTAGCGACACCTCACACTTTTTAACAACATTACAACTCACCTTACACCCCCCATTCCAAGTTCCCAACCCCATGATCATTGACTTCTCACTGTTTACCTTCATACCCGTGGCACGTTCAAACACTTGCACAACATCGTCCAATACTTTCATAGACATCCTTTCATGGACCAGAACAGTGGTATCATCATTACATAACCTATTAATCCCGGCCAAAGTGTCTCTCCTTCAACCCCACCCGCACCCGGGGTACTGATAGTACGTTCAACCATTCTATAAAAGGGGTCCTGAAAACACGCAAATAAGATCTGTGACATGGGACATCCCTGCCTGAGACCTCTACTCATTGCAAATTCCCTCCCCATACACCCATTTATTTGTACCCTCATTTTTGCTCCCCTATACAGCATATTTACCCAATCAACTATTTCTTCCCCATAACCTTGTCTTCTAAGTATAACCTGCAGTGCACGCCTTTCCACTCTATCATAGGCTGCCTGCCAGTCCAAAGCCAGTAAAGCCACCCCCTCCCCCCCTCCTTTTGACTCCACAAAACCTCTCAGAATCCTGTGTCCTTCACCTAAAATTTTTGCGAAAACCTTATAGCCTGCACATAGCAACGATATTACCCGATACTCCCGAAGGGTGGGCTGCCCCTTACCTTTCGGGACCAGCACCACAACTGCTGTAGTCTGCTTATCTCCCAACTTACCCTTCTCCTTCATACAATTAAATTACCTAACCATGAAATTTCCTATCAACGCCCAATGCTGTAAATAAAATTCCACCGGTAGACCACCAATACCCGGGGCTTTTCCCTTCCTCATGCCCTGTAAAGCAATTTCTATTTCCTCTGCAGCAATAATCCCACCCAAAGCCGTCCTACCACTATTACCTAAATTGCACGTTGCATATGTACACACCCTGTCTAACTCCACATCATCCACACCCTCACTTGTCCAGTACTTTTCATACCACATATCTGCATATGCACTCATACCCTCCGTATTTCTTATCTCCTGCCCTGCTCTATAGATCCCCATCATCTCATTTACCTCTAATCTCGGGATAGCCATCAGCGCCTGCCTTTGCTTTTGATGTCGCAACACACACGCAGATGGCTTGTCCCCCCACAAAACTTCTTCTAACCCTGCTTGCACCCTTACTGCTTGAAACCGATCATTTTGCAACATTCGCAATCTCTCTTTTATGTCAACTATTTCGTCCATGGGAAAAAACACCACCAACCATAACAACCTCTTAATCGATCCTCTAAATAATTTGCAAGCCCATATTTTAAATTGTTTATACGTTTACCCTCCACTCACATAATACTTTCTTATCCTTTCTTTAGCCACATAATCCCACCATGTTACAATGTCATCCACCTCCGGAGCTTCCTTGTAAAGCTCTTTCCATAGAATAGAAAAACCCTCCAAACCTTCTTCATCACTCAACACACTAATGTCCAGTTTCCAATAATTTTCCAATAATGTTCAATTTCCACCAGCTCCTCCCACCCCACTTCCACCACTACAGCGCTATGATCTGACATGGCCACCTCAACGGAATTAAAAGATTTCACAACAATCCCTTGAGAAAGATACACTACCTAACCTCGCTGCATAGCCCTCCTAACAAAGATATGCTCTGTTTCCCACCCCCCAAATGCATCACGTAACCTAACGTCCCTCATCAAATCCCTGAGAGTTACAGACATATGACCTGCCCCTTTTGGTTCTACGTCAGCCGCCCTAATAACGCAGTTCCAGTCACCCCCCACTATTGCTTCTTCCAGAAGTGCACGCAAGAAATAGACAAGATCCTGGCACACAAAATCCTTCCTTACATGCATGCTATTCTCCGCAGGCACATACACACTCACAAAAGATACACGCTTACCCATCCACGACCCATCCACATGCAACACCCTCCCCCCTCCCACTCACTTCTCTGCAAAACAAACGGGCTCGTCTCCTTTATTAAAATACCTACACCACCTTTTAAACGGGTAGTTGGCAGGGTCATTACTTGATAACCTGCTACCTCTAACACCTTACCCTCCTTGAAATTATAGAGGAACACAACATCCACTCTATATTTATTAAGAAACATACTCAACCATTCTCTCTTTTTTCTGCTCCATAAGCCATTAACATTGGCAGTCATACACCGAAGGCCTTTTAAATTTTCCACCCCTGCCTCTTCTCCTCACTCTTTTCATCACTAGAATTAGTATTTCTGTATGTTATCTTCACAATACCTTCTTTCCCCCCTCCCTTCTTCCAATGTCTCCTATCATGACCTCCCCCATCGCCCCCTCTTCCCTCTCCTACCATCCCAGTCTGCTTCCAAGGCCTCTGCGCTGGCGTCAGGACATCATCCGAGTCTGACGTAGCTGCCCGTTTCCTTGTTACAATTATGTCCCCCATAACATAGTCTGGGGAAGCCTCACAGTGAACCTCAACATCCACCTTACAATGATTTATTAATTCCACTGACTTCTCAGTCACATCATCAATCCTCAAATTCTCATATCGTTGACAAGCTGGAAGCGATAACTCTCCAGCTACTTCTTGCTCAGATGTAACGTCCTCCTCAGGCGGTGACAAGGTCTTCAAAACTTCCTCCAATTCTTCCTCTATTTCCAACACATCCTCCCGTGGTACCATCCCTGCAGAAGTCGCTGAAGTAGATTCTGGGGCAGGGAACTGAGGGGGGGACTCACCCTCAGTCCTAAAAGCTTGCTCCACCATCTCACTCCACAAACGACCACGTCCTCCCTCAGGTGATTGATCGTCACCTGCCACCCATAAGACAGGGACTGCGTCTTCTACCACAGGTTCAGGCACGCGTCTTTTCTTCTCACATGCTGCGGCTATGTGGTCATACTCACCCCATAGGCGACACGTACGCCTTTGTCCAGGATAAAAACCATGACCTGTGTCTTGAATTCCTGAAGATAAACGTAAGATGGTATGGGATGTCTCAATGTCATTTTAAGAATAAAAGTACCTTCTGGCAAACCTGCATAGGTGCATGCTACCCACATACCATGCTGGGCAAAATGAACTGTCCCATATGTCTCGAAGACTTTTCTGATATCAGCTTCATCCACCTCAAAGGGAGCATTACATAACTTAATCCAGGTATAATGCCTGGAAACATCCCTCATTCTCACACATACAGCAGGTGTAACATCAAGACTCACGTCCTGGAAACGTGTAACCAACGATTCATAAACCGTTGCAGTGAGCAGTTTCACGAAGATTCTATGCGCTCCATTTAAAGCCACTCCATATAATTCTCCATCTTGAATTCCATGTCTCTCTGATGATCTTAGGTAAGAGAACCTGCGCTGAACTAGGCGAAATCGTCCCCCAGAGAAGCTCAATACCAACAGTATTAATCCGGCGTCTATGACAAACTGCCATGTTGACAGCAGTAATTTTCCTGAGGTGTCAACAGAGGCGCAAACACCACCTCCTCACACCACCACTGACAGACAACTGAGGAGCGTCTGCGCAGTAGATCCTCTCGGCCCGAGAGCGAAGAGGACAATGTTGCAAACAACTACCCATTTTTTATATACAAACCAATTTTACTGTCTCAGAACTGTTTTCCTGCCTCAGCTTATTTCAAAGGCCCAGTGTTATTTATGGTTGTACTCCCACAATGCAACCAACAACAGTCAACTAAAACCCAGGTGCTGACTTACTGACAAGTGAACACAAGGGCAGCTAGTGAAGGGAAACATCCAAAACTTTTCCACCTATGACAAGGATCGAACCACGGACATTGAGGGTGTGAGCTGAGTGCTATACCAACCAAGCCACGGGACACCTGTAATGTAATAACAATTGACCTTCAAAGGTCAATTATAATCTACATACTGCTCATTTTATACACTAATAGATTTATTAATGATTGTTTGTAAGTTAGAAAGGAAATAATAATTCTAATAAAATGGATATTTATTAATAATAATAATCCCTAAAACAGTCATTATTTTGCAGTCTTATTATTATTAAGAGTTCTATTAGGGGGGAAAGATAAACTCGTAGGGGTCATACTGTGCCCGGGGAAAGGGAGACAATTAGGTTTGATCTAAGTATGGTAAAGAAGTCCTTGGATCATGAGGTCATCTCCAGCATCTTTGCCGCGTTAAGATAATCCTCAAATGATCATCTTTTGTGATAATTCTATTTACTCTGAGTTACCATTGGAAATCAATGCCATTCTGTTTATACAGTTTCGATAATACTGAATTCTTCTTGCTAATTTCTTCTGTATCCGCTGAGGCTGAGCATCACATCCCAACTGCCTCATCAAGCTTAAAACAATTTTTTATTTTTATTTATTATCTTTACTGAAGAACCAGTAACTTTGCAATTTAAGAACCAGTTTTGTTCATTATTATATTGATACCATTAAGAATTTTGTTTTGAGGTTCCAATTTCAACTACGTTAATCAGTTTTCTCTCTGTTTATGTAAGGCCTAAATTAATAATTGAATGGATAAAGACATAAAAAGAAAAATATGTATTTTCCTATCAAAAGTTCCTATGGAGAAAATAAATATACCTTGAAAACGACATATTAGTTTTGAAGATATCTGGAGATAACTTAATAATGTACATTCTCAAGATATTTACACTCAGGAAGTGTGTTTTAGATTGATCCACGTGACGGACTGGTACCAGACTCTGGCGGGCCTAGCAGGGGCCGAGGCTCCTACGAACACGGACGGTGTGGACCAGTGGCCCACCATCACTGGGTCTGTCCCATCACCAAGGACCGACATGATCTACAACATCGATAATACAACCAAATTCTCCGCCGCGGTGAGGTGAGGACGTGTGTAGAAAACTTTAAGATAATCTTTATGGTCCAGTAATGTTTGACTTGAGTTATACACTGACCTCTCATGGTGCTATGCTGGCAACATTAATAATACCTCTCATGGTGCTATGCTGGCAACATTAATAATACCTCTCATGGTGCTATGCAGGCAACATTAATAATACCTCTCGTGGTGCTATGCAGGCAACATTAATAACACCACTCATGGTGCTATAGAGGCAACATTAATAATACCTCTCATGGTGCTATGCAGGCAACGTTAATAATACCTCTCATGGTGCTATGCAAGCAACGTTAATAATGCCTAACATGGTGCTATGCAGGCAACGTTAATAATACCTATCATGGTGCTATGCAGGCAACGTTAATAATACCTCTCATGGTGTTATGCAGACAACATTAATAATGCCTGTCATGGTGCTATGCAGGCAACATTAATAATACCTCTCATGGTGCTATGCAGGCAGTGTTAATAATACCTATCACGGTGCTATTCAGGAAACATTAATAATACCTATCATGGTGTTATACAGGCAACATTAATAAATACCTCTCATGGTGCTAGGCAGGCAATGTTAATACCTATCATGGTGCTATGCAGGCAACATTAATAATACCTCTCATGGTGCTATGCAGGCAACATTAATAATACCTCTCATGGTGTTATGCTTGCAACATTAATAATAACTCTCATGGTGTTATGCAGGCAGTGTGAATAATACCCATCATGGTGCTATGCAGGCAACATTAATAATAACTATCATGGTGTTATACAGGAAACATTAATAATACCTCTCATGGTGCTATGCAGGCAACATTAATAATACCTCTCATGGTGCTATGCTGGCAACATTAATAATACCTCTCATGGTGCTATGCAGGCAACATTAATAATACCTCCCATGGTGCTATGCAGGCAACATTAATAATACCTTATATGGTGCTATGCATGCAACATTAATAATATCTCTCATGGTGCTATGCTGCCAACATTAATAATACCTCTCATGGTGCTATGCAGGCAACATTAATAATACCTCCCATGGTGCTATGCAGGCAACATTAATAATACCTTATATGGTGCTATGCATGCAACATTAATAATATCTCTCATGGTGCTATGCAGGCAACATTAATAATACCTCTCATGGTGCTATGCTGGCAACATTAATAATACCTCTCATGGTGCTATGCTGGCAACATTAATAATACCTCTCATGGTGTTATACAGGCAACATTAATAATACCTCTCATGGTGCTATGCAGGCAACATTAATAATGCCTATCATGGTGCTATGCACGCAACATTAATAATACCTCTCAGTGTTTTATAGCTTGTTGGGCGATGTCTTGCAGAGCGGGTGATTAATAATAAGTCTTCGGAGGCTTCTTACTTTATTTGCAAAGTCGTGGTGGGTACACAGGCTTGTGTGTTAGTGCCCATGGCCCTGAAGGGCCATGCCCGCGAGGGAGAGAGGAGTAGGACTTCTTTACTGAATCTAGGCCGCTGAAAGAGTGAGAGCGAGTGGGACCAGCGTCCCACTGACCTGGGCAGGCCTAGAGAGGGCAGCACCTTAGTTCTGCAAAATACGAACTAAGCTAGCAGACAGCATAGGCTGTCTGTGCAAACAGTACAGGCTGTCTACATTTGCTCAGCCACCTACCTCGCATTGTCCCGACGCGACAATACTGGTGGTAAAAAAAAAAACTTGGTCTCTCTCTCGTAGGAACAGGGCACAGAACTCAAAATGAAAACATGTATATACATATGGACATGAAAAAAAAACTTCCTACAGGGAGGGAAGAAAAAACATGTGGGGTGTGCTAAACATCGTGTCATAGGCAGTGAGTGCCGATGGGCATCAATGCATGCCTTCCTGCATCTGGACAGATACTGCAACACAGGAGACATCGCTGCGGCTGAGCTGTGACGTAACGGGTATGATCTCCTCTGGAACGGTGAATCAGTCATCGTAAGAGTCACTGCAGGTTTCACTCAACCTGGGGCACAACATGCTGGTGCCCTCCAATGAGGCATCGTCAAAACTCAGCAACTGGGCAAGACTTCTGGCAAGCGACTCAGGAGGACACTTCTCGACTGCTACTGTCGCTGGGCTGTCACTGCCGGCGAGCGTGAAGTAAGTCGTGGAGCAAGGCATGGCAGAGACGACTGGGCAAAACATCTGGGAGTCGTAACATCATACACCAGACTGCAGTGAGCGAGCTAGCAGTCAAAGTGACATCATCTTCATGCAGGAGCTCACTGAAGCTATGACATGAGGCTGACATAGTTTCTGCCGACAGGGCTAACTGTGGCTTGACGAGTGTTATTCTCTCGGCAGTTGGAGTTATAGCAGAGGTTAGTCTAAGTGTTCCCAGACTTGTTTCTCTACATATAACTGCACTCTGAAGGTCTGGAGGTGAAGTGAAACAAATCTCTATGGGAATCGTAGCAGGTACGATTCTGCCGGGCATCATGAGTGGATTGAACAATAAGAGCTTTCTGTACAAGAGGCTCAGATGCTCTTGGCTGACTAATAACAGCTGTCAAATGCACTGGTCACACCGGGTGACAAGTAACACAGAGGTGCTACTCTGGGGTCTGGGCTCAAGACCACACTGGACACGCGGAAAACTTTACACACACCCATGGCACATGCAGTACAAACATGGCTTAAACTAGCAAATGATGCTTTTCTGTGCACAAAATTGAAACTAAGCCATACACTAACATGTGAGAACACTGACAGAGAGGAATTATTTAACACACGACATATATCTTCTCTCAATCTTCTCGACAGTACTGACATAATTACTGAAACACTCGATGTGACATCATGTGATGTCAGGCGTGACGTCGCGAGGTGATGTCAGCAGCACTGTGACGTCAGCAGACATCTCGAAGTGATGTCATGCAGACATTGTGACGTCATGAAGTGGGGCAGCAGCAGACCCCTGGGACGTCTGGCTCGGTAACTCGCCTGGCTTGTAGATCCGCGTGGCATCGTCCACACCCCATGTGTCGTCGGGATCTACGTGGCATGCTGATCCATGTAGTTTCGAGTGGCCTCGGGCACTCAGATACATAGCTCTGGCAATGAATTCACATGGAAAACAGCAGACAACACAGCAGAGGGAGTGGGTACATGGTGATGGAACGTGGTGGTAGGCGGGTGAGGTATCAGTGAGTGGCGATGGTGGAGGACCGCACCTACCTTCCTCACCCATACACACGTGGGAGAAACAACCCACACCAGACGCTGAAATCACCACAAAACTCACCTCTGACTTGCTGAAATAGCTGTGCTGAACTGAACAACAACAGCAGAACATACAAGAGACACTGAACACGTGACTTGAGTAACAGCGTGGAACGCTGTTGCATGGGACGCTGTAGCGTGGGGTCACTGGGACGCCACTTACAATTCTCGAAGAAATTCGGCAAATTTCGGCTAGATCCTGCTTGTACCTGTGTCTGAATGCTGAAACGTGCAGACACGACATCAGGATTACTCGTTGAGAGACGAATGTTTCTAGTGTAGGGTGATGAAGTGAACACAACTTCATTCTATTTCCTTCCTCTCTCCAGGCATACAAAACTGCTGCAACCACTGCTTCCCACCAATGTGAATGAGATTATTTGGTGTTTCTGGTTGTGGGGAGTAAATGATACGTCTTCGGAGGCTTCCTTACTTTATTTGCAAAGTCGTGGTGGGTACACAGGCTTGTGTGCTAGTGCCAATGGCCCGGGAGGGCCATGCCCGCGAGGGAGAGAGGAGTAGGACTTCTTGACTGAGTCTAGGCCGCTGAGAGAGTGAGAGCGAGTGGGACCAGCGTCCCACTGATCTGGGCAGGCCTAGAGAGGGCAGCACCTGAGTGCCACGAAATATGAACTAAGCTGGCAGACAGCATAAGCTGTCTGTGCAGACAGTACAGGCTGTCTACATCATGATGCTATGCAGGCAACATTAATAATATCTCTCATAGTGCTATGCAGGCAACATTAATAATACCTCTCATGGTGCTACGCAGGCAACATTAATAATACCTCTCATGGTGCTATGCAGGCAACATTAATAATACCTCTCATGGTGCTATGCAGGCAACATTAATAATACCTCTCATGGCGCTATGCAGGCAACATTAATAATTCCTCTCATGGTGCTATGCAGGCAACATTAATAATACCTCTCATGGCGCTATGCAGGCAACATTAATAATTCCTCTCATGGTGCTATGCAGGCAACAATAATACATCTCCAGTTAACCTCAGTCTTATGTCACTTATATTTAACTGTCTCCGTTATGAACAATTATTAAATATTTAATGTAAATTAAATATGTAATTATTTACCTCTGTTTTTAATAATTAACATATCTCTTATAACACTAATAATGCCTTTTCAAATTTCTCATTGGATGTTCCACTGACATTTGGAGATGTTGAAAGTGACATTTTACGAGGCAAAATAAGACACTTTAGTTTCGTTAGTCATGGGAATGAAAGACAGGATATTTAGCTCATTAGGAAAACTAAAACGTCTCCTGACGCAGATCTTTGTCAGCTAATTAACTTCTATGAGATTAGACAAACGTTGTCGTAACAATAATTAAATATTAGCTGGCGTTTTGGTTCTGTGAATCTGTGGGCTAAATATTAACTGATTTGCCATCAGAATTATTAATTAATCATTGAATTGTGTTTCTTCAGCTATCGTGAAAGTAGCAAATTTTGAAAACATTGATAACTTGAAAAAATCCTATATATAATTGGCGTGTTTTTAATTATACTTTATTTGTACAGTAACTGACTGTCTAGTATCCCTTGAACAAGTGGGTAAATCATCTTTAAATTTAATAAATAATTTGCCTAACACTTTATGTTTATAGACAAATGTAAGATTGTTTACTGAGAAGCCCCAGTAGTGTGTATTTTGTTTTTCATTCTCGCATCCCAATATAAAAAGAATTTCATTTAATTTAAGACGAACAGCAAATAATTTGAAAATAAAAGGAAATAACATCTTAAATTTTTTCAGGTGAAGTATTTCAATGTGAGATTCAAGTTAGTAATTTGTGTGTGTTTTCCTTGGTCGATCTGCAGGATGGGTGAGTACAAATTACTGGTGGGTGAACCAGGTGGGGGAGAATGGACGCCGCCCCCGGAGAACGACACCGATATTGTTGTGGAGGAGTCTAGCCATATCAACACTGACAATCATAAGATGGTGGGTGAAGGGAAGGAGAGGATCCAACACCTGCTGCACCTCCTCAACACCAACGATACTGAGCTCAGACTCTACGACCTCACAGGTATTTATTACATGGGAGAAGTAAATGCAAACTTAGACTGTTAATTAAGGAAATGCAGCTTCGAAGAGAAAACTAAAGGCCAAAGGAAGTGAAGAATGTTTTGAAGGGCAGAATATATCCAAGAAATTCAAGCTACCTCTCTCTCATCCTCTGACCAAACCTAAATATCTCCCATCACTGAGGTGTTGTTTCGCTCATATTGGTTTAACGCTTCCAAATTAATGTAATAGTCATATTGTACATCGTCTGGAAACCACTTTTTGCATCCGACTCTTATTTCAATCCACATAATTCTTGAATTTATACATTTATATTCCCTCTTCTCCTTACTTAACTGATCATTCAGCATCGTTGCTACACACTTCCATAGTGATAAGTCTATCAGATACTCCATTTATTACTTCCCATTGATATTCCCTCACCTCTTTCAGCTTTGTTTCGCTTACAGCTACAACATCCAACTTCTTTTCATTCATAAGACTGGTAATTATCAATTTCTTATGACCTGCACCACATCCACGCACAATCAAACATTCCCACTTTATTAGGTTTTTCTTCTATTTCTATTAATATATTCAGGAGAAGGGATTACTAGCCCATTGCTGCTGGCATTTAGGTGGTCTCTTACGACACGCACGGCAAATGGAAGAAATGTTTTAAATGTAAAAGTGATTAAAAGTAGCGTGTTTATGAGACAGAAACAAAAGACAGCAGCAGTTCCACAATTGTGTAAAACAATAACAGGTTCCCATTTAACACGCATTTGGTAGGAAGGTAGTACCTCCCTGTGTGGTTGCTGTCTACCAGCCTACTACCACAGGATGGTAGTACCTCCCTGTGTGGTTGCTGTCTACCAGCCTACTACCACAGGATGGTAGTACCTCCCTGTGTGGTTGTTGTCTACCAGCCTACTACCACAGGATGGTAGTACCTCCCTGTGTGGTTGCTGTCTACCAGCCTACTACCACAGGATGGTAGTACCTCCCTGTGTGGTTGTTGTCTACCAGCCTACTACCACAGGATGGTAGTACCTCCCTGTGTGGTTGCTGTCTACCAGCCTACTACCACAGGATGGTAGTACCTCCCTGTGTGGTTGCTGTCTACCAGCCTACTACCACAGGATGGTAGAACCTCCCTGTGTGGTTGCTGTCTACCAACCTACTACCATAGGATGGTAGTACCTCCCTGTGTGGTTGTTGTCTACCAGCCTACTACCACAGGATGGTAGTACCTCACTGTGTGGTTGCTGTCTACCAGCCTACTACCACAGGATGGTAGAACCTCCCTGTGTGGTTGCTGTCTACCAACCTACTACCATAGGATGGTAGTACCTCCCTGTGTGGTTGCTGTCTACCAGCCTACTACCACAGGATGGTAGTACCTCCCTGTGTGGTTGCTGTCTACCAGCCTACTACCACAGGATGGTAGTACCTCACTGTGTGGTTGCTGTCTACCAGCCTTACACCACAGGATGGTAGAACCTCCCTGTGTGGTTGCTGTCTACCAACCTACTACCATAGGATGGTAGTACCTCCCTGTGTGGTTGTTGTCTACCAACCTACTACCACAGGATGGTAGTACCTCCCAGTGTGGTTGTCTACCAACCTACTACCACAGGATGGTAGTACCTCCCTGTGTGGTTGTTGTCTACCAACCTACTACCACAGGATGGTAGTACCTCCCTGTGTGGTTGTTGTCTACCAACCTACTACCACAGTATGGTAGTACCTCCCTGTGTGGTTGTCTACCAACCTACTACCACAGGATTGTAGTACCTCCCAGTGTGGTTGTTGTCTACCAACCTACTACCACAGGATGGTAGTACCTCCCAGTGTGGTTGTTGTCTACCACCCTACTACCACAGGATGATAGTACCTCCCAGTGTGGTTGTTGTCTACCAACCTACTACCACAGGATGGTAGTACCTCCCAGGGTGGTTGTTGTCTACCAACCTACTAGCACAGGATGATAGTACCTCCCAGTGTGGGTGTTGTCTACCAGCCTACTACCACAGGATGGTAGTACCTCCCAGGGTGGTTGTTGTCTACCAACCTACTACCACAGGATGGTAGTACCTCCCAGTGTGGTTGTTGTCTACCAACCTACTACCACAGGATGGTAGTACCTCCCTGTGTGGTTGTTGTCTTCCAACCTACTACCACAGGATGGTAGTTCCTCCCTGTGTGGTTATTGTCTACCAACCTACTACCACAGGACGGTAGTACCTCCCTGTGTGGTTGTTCTCTACCAACCTACTACCACAGGATGGTAGTACCTCCCTGTGTGGTTGTTGTCTACCAACCTACTACCACAGGATGGTAGTACCTCCCTGTGTGGTTGTTGTCTACCAACCTACTACCACAGGATGGTAGTACCTCCCAGTGTGGTTGTTGTCTACCAACCTACTACCACAGGATGGTAGTACCTCCCTGTGTGGTTGTTGTCTACCAACCTTCTACCACAGGATGGTAGTACCTCCCTGTGTGGTTGTTGTCTACCAACCTACTACCACAGGATGGTAGTACCTCCCAGTGTGGTTGTTGTCTACCAACCTACTACCACAGGATTGTAGTATCTCCCTGTGTGGTTGTTGTCTACCAACCTACTACCACAGGATGGTAGTTGTCCCAGTGTTTTTGTTGTCTACCAACCTACTACCACAGGATGGTAGTATCTCCCTGTGTGGTTGCTGTCTACCAACCTACTACCACAGGATGGTAGTACCTCCCTGTGTGGTTGCTGTCTACCAACCTACTACCACAGGATGGTAGTACCTCCCTGTGTGGTTGCTGTCTACCAACCTACTACCACAGGATGGTAGTACCTCCCTGGGTGGTTGCTGTCTACCAACCTACTACCACAGGATGGTAGTACCTCCCTGAGTGGTTGCTGTCTACCAACCTACGACCACAGGATGGTAGTACCTCCTTGTGTGGTTGCTGTCTACCAACCTACTACCACAGGATGGTAGTACCTCCCTGTGTGGTTGCTGTCTACCAACCTACTACCACAGGATGGTAGTACCTCCCTGTGTGGTTGCTGTCTACCAACTTACTACCACAGGATGGTAGTACCTCCCTGGGTGGTTGCTGTCTACCAACCTACTACCACAGGATGGTAGTACCTCCCTGGGTGGTTGCTGTCTACCAACCTACTACCACAGGATGGTAGTACCTCCTGGGTGGTTGCTGTCTACCAACCTACTACCACAGGATGGTAGTACCTCCCTGTGTGGTTGCTGTCTACCAACCTACTACCACAGGATGGTAGTACCTCCCTGTGTGGTTGCTGTCTACCAACCTACTACCACAGGATGGTAGTACCTCCCTGTGTGGTTGCTGTCTACCAACCTACTACCACAGGATGGTTAGTACCTCCCTGTGTGGTTGCTGTCTACCAACCTACTACCACAGGATGGTAGTACCTCCCTGTGTGGTTGCTGTCTACCAACCTACTACCACAGGATGGTAGTACCTCCCTGTGTGGTTGCTGTCTACCAACCTACTACCTATATACATGTCGTGCCATATAATCCGACAAGTTAGACCTCGACAACGATGCTGATCTGTGCTGAAGAAATGCAATATTTGTTTTTGTCATAAGTTTACGAAAATCAGTCTAAACATAATGACAAAAAAGTATGTTAAATTAATTTACTCAGACCTAAGAAATTTATAGCGGAATTTAGCCAAATTATTTGGGTAGATTTAATTAGGTAAGGTGACAGTTTTAAATTAGGCTTGATTCCAAAATATTTTTTTTACATTATTGTTTATGAAATTTTTTTTCTGTCAATATATTAAAAAAATGAAAAAGTAATTGTTTAGTGGAGTTCGACCTATTCGACAAGTTTCTGTTATTGTATTTCGTGTTCGAGTGGTGTTAAGAAATTAGTTTAGGTAGTCAGCGATAAGTGATACTGAGGAGCCTTTGAATGAGCTATGTGTGGATAGTAGTTTGGTAATAGGTGATACCCAAGGTAGTAGGTTGGTAGACAGCAACCACCCAGGGAGGTACTACCATCCTGTGGTAGCAGGTTGGTAGACAACAACCACACAGGAAGGTACTACCATCCTGTGGTAGTAGGTTGGTAGACAGCAACCACCCAGGGAGGTACTACCATCCTGTGGTAGTAGGTTGGTAGACAGCAACCACCCAGGGAGGTACTACCATCCTGTGGTAGTAGGTTGGTAGACAGCAACCACCCAGGGAGGTACTACCATCCTGTGGTAGTAGGTTGGTAGACAGCAACCACACAGGGAGGTACTACCATCCTGTGGTAGTAGGTTGGTAGACAGCAACCACCCAGGGAGGTACTACCATCCTGTGGTAGTAGGTTGGTAGACAGCAACCACACAGGGAGGTACTACCATCCTGTGGTAGTAGGTTGGTAGACAGCAACCACACAGGGAAGTACTACCATCCTGTGATAGTAGGTTGGTAGACAGCAACCACACAGGGAGGTACTACCATCCTGTGGTAGTAGGTTGGTAGACAGCAACCACACAGGGAGGTACTACCATCCTGTGGTAGTAGGTTGATAGACAGCAACCACACAGGGAGGTACTACCGTCCTGTGGTAGCAGGTTGGTAGACAGCAGCCACACAGGGAGGTACTACCATCCTGTGGTAGTAGGTTGGTAGACAGCAACCTCACAGGGAGGTACTACCATCCTGTGGTAGTAGGTTGGTAGACAACAACCACACAGGGAGGTACTACCATCCTGTGGTAGTAGGTTGGTAGACAACAACCACACAGGGAGGTACTACCATACTGTGGTAGTAGGTTGGTAGACAGCAGCCACACAGGGAGGTACTACCATCCTGTGGTAGAAGGTTGGTAGACAGCAACCACCCGCGGACGTACTACCATCCTGTGGTAGTAGGTTGGTAGACAGCAGCCACACAGGGAGGTACTACCATCCTGTGGTAGTAGGTTGGTAGACAGCAACCACCCAGGGAGGTACTACCATACTGTGGTAGTAGGTTGGTAGACAGAAACCACCCAGGGAGGTACTACCATACTGTGGTAGTAGACTGGTAGAGAGCAACCACCCACGGAGGTTCTACCA